ATAGCAAAAACCAACAAAAGACCTCCCACTTCCCTTTCAGACTGTATAATTTCAAAATCCATCATTTGAATGTGCCATTTACATGCAGGAATTGTGTTTGCAATTTAAAGCTTTTCCAAATTACAGCCCATTAGCAAAATCAGGGCTGAAAATAGGAGTCCAAGACACGGAAATGACCTCACGAGCACAGTTTGGAACATGCTCCTCGACATCTTTCCAAAAGAATATAAATGTGCGTGTGTGTGTGTGTGTGTGTGTGTGCGTGTGTGTGTGTGTTCAGGGGGTGAATGAAGACAGATACACAGAAGGAACAAGATTCAGAAGCCAAATAAGTAATGGGCTACTTACCGGAACTTTGCTCCCAGTTATCTGCATGCAGCGATCAGCGGAGAAGGTTAATGTGCAAAAAGACACAAACAGCACAATCATTAGTAGGCCAGAGAATCCTCTCCATTACACGTTGAGGCATTAGCGTAACTTGTGTGACATCACAAACACACTTTACAAGAAAAGTATATATAAGCCAACAAGAGAAAACCTATATAGTGATGGGCACATACTGAAGATAATGTCTGTGTTTTGCAGCAGCAATTTTTAAAACATTTTAAAAAGACAGATGCATGAAAATGGGGAAAATTACAACAAGAATGTGTAAGACATGTAGATGACAAATGTATTATCAATGCACGGCAACAACAACTGTGGAGGTAATGAATCGGCATGTTTAGACATGGTCATTTCAACACAAGGGATGGATTAATTGATTAACAGGGTCAAATGGAACCGACAGACTGTTATAGATTCAGACTCATCCCAAAACAGCAACAGTGGCGAGTGTGCACAAAGAGGCTGCAGAGGGGTTGGGCTGATATATATCAGCTGCCATTAACGTTGGGCTTCAGGTGTCAACTTCGTGTGGCAGCGCTACCGTGAGCCCATGCAGTCAGCCCGATTCTTGGAGTTTAACCTTGTTATCTGTCAATAGTGCCGGGGAGCAGGAGTGTTTGTTATTACTGCAACTGTGGGCCTGTTGTTTCACAGAAGGAGTGTGTCTATCAGCTGAGTAAATGTATTCTATACTGTGGCTGACAATTCTTTCACTGCCACATGTTTCCGAGGAAAATCTACTTTGTTTGCAGGAAGGTACAGGCAACAAACTGGGTTCCTCGTTTGTTACCTCTTTCTTGTTTCTCTCCTTGTTTCATTCCCTCCCTCTCCCCCCCCCCCCATCTCATCTAATCTCCATTTCTATTTCTTTTATTGTCACTCTCAAACTCTCCACGTCTGTGGCCATTTTATGCTTGATTTCCCCTCTCCATCCCTCCACCAAGAGTTTATGACAGCCATAAAGTCGGTTTTACTCGTGCCACCAACCTGATCACGCACATACTACTTTCTAATATGTCTCTCCACATTTTCCTTTGCTCTCCAGTGAATGCAGCAGCCTGTCACTGTCTAACACTGGGAAGTATTTTTACCTGAATACTGCAGGCTAAACACCTTTGAAATGAGTCACATTGACGTAGCTCACAGCTTCCACAGATGTTGATGCCAACCACATTGGATACATATTTCTGAGTTTTGTTTCAGAGCAGCTTGACCAAAAACAAAAAAAAAAAAAAAAAAAAAAAACAGACACTATCTTGAGTGTGCACTGACAACAGTCAGGGAGGAGCTTGAGGGGGAGAAGCGCAGTTTCATTAACAGCAAGTTTGTATTTACAATACAACACCGTATTCTCACTAAAACAAGGGCAAGAAGTATTCCTTTTCATACTAAGTGCTGCTGAGGTATTACTAATCATATCTGATATCTAAAATAAATTAAATAAAGACAGTTACTGCGCACAAGTGTATGCAATTTCTTCTCAACAATCATGTAGCTGTTACCACCCTTTTTCTTGATGGGTGTAAAACTATAAACTAATTTCTTTAACACTTATGGTGAAGGGCCCCCGTTAAAGCGCCCCGTTAAAAGAAGAGGGTGGCATCAATATTTGACTAGAACTGTAATAGTGACACTGGACAATCCCCCTCACAAGTCCCTGCCATCACACCCTTCCTACATCTGAGACACAGCACGTTTGACATGAAACAAGAACATAATCATTGACAGTAAGTAAAGTACATTTCAGAGGAATAAGCAATTGAATTAGTGTAGAAATGAATTGTGGCAGTTCGAATGATGTTGGCACACATTTACAGCGAGGAGAAAGAACCAGAAATGAGTTGAGAGAGAAAGGCGACTGTTCATGCAAAGCTAACGGTCAAGGATGTCCACAGACACGCTCCTACAAAAGCAGAGCTGGATTCCATTGAAACGCAGTTCAAATTCAAATGAACAGGGTTAATGCACAATTCTCTTTCATTGGAAAGACATATTTCACAAAACAAAGTAACAATGAGCCATGTTTCCTTTTACCAATGATTCGAAGCTAGCTTAATAGATGTAGCCTTTTTGTATCAACATGCATAAAAGATGAGTATACATACAAGAAGGTTGTACATCGAGAAGGCAACCTCGAGCACCAAATGCTATTCAACGAGGTTAAATGTTTCTTTTTTTTGTTGCAGAAAAAAATACAGTTGCTTTATATTGGGCATAAAAGCCCTTTGCTCAATTGAGCACGTCTAAAGAGACACATGAGGAAAAGGCCACACATTACTTGGAGATTTCAGATTCAAGCTTTCGAAGCCTTTTAAGTCTGCGTGCTCTGCATCGGCTGTCCAAATCTAAGAACACAAATTTGAGTATTATATGGGTGTGAGGGTGGCGTTTGACATTCATGAATTTTTAGCTTGTATCTCTGTGACTACAATGAAATATAAAACCAGATACTCCTGTAAGAGTAGTATCAAAAATCACTATCTTGTGAAATGTTCGACTGGGACCTTATAACGTCATCTAGAAAGAAAGAAACAAAACAGGAAATTGAGACAAACGCGTGAAGCCCTTCCCAGTCCCCAAAACGGCGCTCTTACAATGCAGCACACATCATTAACAGTGGAGCCACCACATCAAAACAAGATGCATGTCCAAAATGCACCACGTCTACAGGCATCACCCTTTATGCAACATGTTCGTATTTAGCCCACCCTGCATGCTCCAAAAGCAACATATAGCCCCAGATAATACAGAAGAGAAATACATTGTAGTGGTGGCGTGGAGATTCTTTCATACATATAGGCTGCACACCATGCAGAGGTGTAGTTTGGGTGCAAGACTGGACAAAAGCAAAACGATAGCGAAACCTGCCTTAGATGCATCTAAACAAATGTTGTACTTCTGATGTATCTGCTGAAAAACTGTAATGTAGTGCGAGATGATTCTGGGTTTCTGTTAAGAAGTTCTAGGAACCTAAAGCACACCATTTAAGAAACTACAGAGCACAGGATCAGTGTGAGGCCGTTTTTAGAACATTCTTACAAGCTGCATGCTGGGATGCTCCGGCTTGATTGTTACTCAGATGTCTCTCTAGGATATCAATTGAGTCTAAGACAGGAGTTACTTTTCAATATACACTAACTTATATGATGCAATTGAAGATATTTTATTTAAAACAAATTGAAATATCTGCTAATAAATTTTCACAGCAACTAAACATGGTTGAGTACGGCCCTGGGCTATTTTAAACTATTTAGGGTAGGTTGGTACATTTTTTTACTTAAATGCAGAATAAGCAGGATTTTTTTTTTTTTTTTAAATGGGCTGCTCCAATGTGCGTTGTAGTTACGCAAATAAGTGTGAATACTGTCTTTCACTACCAGGGAGATTTGGTGGCAGCGTCAAATCTATTCATCATAATCATGCACAGAAGTGCCCTAAATTATTAAACTCAGCTAAGTTGTCCTCTTGGTCACTTGTGTATTATCAGTAAATGCCTATTTACCTGTGCTTTAAAGTGTTCTAGTGTAACTGCGTGCACTTGCATGAATCTGTGTTTGTACAGATACGATTCCTGACACTCGACCATCCCCCTTCCTTCACTCCTATTAAATGTGATAGCGGGGTGCTGACAGACATTACATTTTGTCCTCCGTCCTTTGCTACACGGATTACGCTATTCATTTGAATAAAATATCAGCGCTCACAAAGCATAATGGGCCCTGTGAGGAATTCAATCATCTCGGATAATCGTCATTATCAATAATGCCAGTTAATTACCATAACAATGAAGACCGGTAATAAATGAGGATGTCAAGAGAGAGCTACCAGGTTGGGGAAGCGATGGGGACAGAAATCACTTCTTTCCTTCTGTGCATGAAGGGAATTATAGCCAGCCTCGTGAATTTCATCTCACAATGTTGGCTACAAAATTTAAAAGAGGAAAAATGGATTGCATGAAGAAATCTCTACTTTTCACTGCTGTTTTTGGATTAGAGGGATAATCAAGTTCTAGATTACTCTTCAACAATGGGCAACTTAAATCTAACCCTACATGCCATAATGTAGCATACAGTATTCATACACATCATAGGGTCATGTTGAACATAAAATACTTGCTTTTCTTCATTTTTGTAACTGATTTGTTTCCTTTTTCGCTTTAACACTGCTGTTGAACCAAGAGGTTGTCTGAACTTTATTTTTATACTCGATAAGCAAATGATGCGGCAGGGCGCCACCACCACCACCACCAAACCCCCATGCAAGTACACAACTGAGGCAATCAACAATCTGCATGCAAGCGCCTGACTGGACAAGCACTGATCATCTACTAGGCATAGAGTGAGTGAGTGACGGCAACACATTTCTGATAATCTGCAACAGCAAATTGCTGCACAGTCAAAATTCAAAATCAAAGATGTGGAACTCAAGCGCCTAAGAGAGGAGAGAGAGAGAGAGAGCGAGGTGAGAGTGTGCAAGATGACAAGGCAAGCCATGAAGCAGAGGGTGAGGTTAAACTCATTCCGGTGAGGGTGTCACGATACTTCAGCTCATCCACTACAATTATACAGCACACGCTCTTCAGTCTGAAGAGGCAGAGGTTAACTCTCACTTACAGATTTGGCAGTAGTTGAGATGTACTGGACCACCATCTCGCGTTTGGTGCTTAAATCCTTTCCACGCAGCGGGGCTTTGCGTTCCTCATTCAGGTTCATGTCCTCCTAGAGACACACAAGACAATGAGAAGAAGTGTTATCATAATATTAGTAGCAATCATAGATGCTACTCCAATGTAGTGCAACACATTGATGGTGAATGTTGAGGAAGTGTACAAAATGATAAACTGGAAAGGAAAAATTCAGATTGTTTTCTCAAACCACTGGGCTGACTGAGAAAATTAGACAGAGAATGGTGTGCAAACGAGCAGAAGTTTGACACTTAAACCGAAAAGAACAGAGCAAAAATAACAGCATTTCAAAACATTGAGCCATATTATTTACAGTACAATAGTTTCACGAGCAAGAAGAAACACCTTGAACCTACCATCAATGATACTTTTAGGTCCACTACAGCCCTTTTACATCAGATCCTGCTCTTCTACAGGTAAATGCATTCCTTTTCCATCTGTATGTGTCAAAATCCCGAGGTTCAGCAACGGGAACTGTTGTCAGTAATAATTAGTCCTTGAAGCGAAAGTAGTACGGCTACAGCGACAGAAACTGTTCGACCCAACTCCGAACAACAGAGCAAAAAATCAAACAGCGCTGCTTCTATTGAGGCCATGCAATCACATCTGATAGGCTAGATAAGGCAGTATCTGTTTGTTATTGGGAGTATTATCTTTGTGCTACTTTAATTCTGCATCACAAAAGAGGTCTTTCATGTGAGAGACATCAGGGGACGGAGCGAAGGCCGGACAGAGCACTAAAAGCTAGGGAATGACATGATGATTAGAATGGAGGGGGATGTTTATCAGAAGTACTCTCTCACAAAGAGACGGATAGAATGAACAGAGAGAAAGAAACATTCTCCTCAGGGTTTCAGGAGAGTGAGCCTTAAGTTGTGGAGCCATGCTGCCCTCTGCTGGGCAGCGAGTCCTTTTTGTTTGGTTGATCTGATTTGGCAGTTGTTGTCCTCCATCCGATTGAATGTAAAATTCACCTGATGAATTAAGCGTTTTAATGCAGCGGTTTTGGATTTCTGACTCAAACTATTTTTGCTTCATTTGCTGGTGAAGCATGGACAGGAATCCCATCCAGGGGCACCGTGACCTAAATTCCTCCTACTACATGTTCTCTAGTAAATACCCTCTGAGCGGGGGAAAAATAAAAACACCGTAAGTTCCTTTTCGTACGACACAGAGGGGTATAAATGTGGCTGAAAGTTTTGCAATTGGCAGTTGTTGTTTTTTTTTTCCACTGAAGGAAACCAGCAGGTTTTTTAATTAATCTTTGAACCCTGCTAATCTTTCTGCTTAATTGGCATTCAATAAACGAGGCATAATGTGGCGGGGCGAGTACGCTGTAGAAGGGGAAGGAGGAGCGGGCCAGCGGGACGCTTGTCAGGGGGCACAGTGGAGGAATGAGCCCTCCATGTTTCGTCTCCAAAATGATTAATGCTCTTTTATTAATTATACCCTCACGGGCTACATAAAGAATCCCAGAGTATCTTTGACTATGCTGCTGGTATAGAACGGAAATGATAGGATTTGAGCTTGTATTAATGACGGTGGAGTTACCAAGAAATGTCTCATTTTGCAACACTTGGCAAAAGAAGCATCACGGACTCCATGAATAGGTCTGTGCCGATTGGATTGTATCTTGGCAAATTATGGAATTATCCAATTGTTTTTTTCCTACGGTAGAATAAAGGTGATTTTAACAAACATAGCATATTATCAAAACTGAGATTTATTGACAAAAAAAATCTCTAGAATCTGAGTTTTTGTAATTTATTAATGATGATAATTCCAATGCCAATGTTATGAATGACGCTCGAAGCGTCTAACTATTTGATACAGCCCTAGTTATGGTCAGATAGAAGTTTGATACCAAAGATAAGTTAATAATGTCTGAAGGAACATGATACTGTGAAGTTGTCGCACAAAGCACAGACACACAGACTTTTAAAGGGAGGAGTTATTTCTTGACTGACCACGATTGGACAATATGAAAATAGGAATGATCGCCTGACACCCAATCGTGAACACTGTCCATGCCAGCGGACTGCCATACCGTATAATGTATACACGGTGCAGTCCATAATTATAAGACAGTGATACATTGTTTTCAGTTCTCTTGACTCTGTACTCCAGCATATTGGATTTGGAATCAAACAATGGCCGAGGTTAATGAGCTGACCTGCAGCTTAACGGTGACATGTCCATATTGGTTAAGTAAACTCATAATTGGACTTGTAGCGCCTTGTTGAATATATACCCCCCCCCTGAGATTTAAGACGATCAACACATTGATCATAAATACACCCAAAGCAACCTTGTTCTTGACTGGCCATGTGAGCCAATCCAAATGAGCAGGTGTTTCACTTACTAAAGACCTGCCTCCAAAATACACAATAAGTGAAGATGGCTGCGTGACAGGCCCGGCAACGCATCAGTAGGAAGACACCAAATCACAGAAAAGAGCATTTAATGACTAGCAGCAAATATGTCTGAGCCTGAAATGGATCTGAGGAGTCAAGTCTCTGTGGAAAAGTGGAGGACGTATAAAAATGTTTTGCTTCCACTGTGACGAAGCGATTATTTTGTCCACTACCCTCAAGTCTGATCCATCTGTGTGCAAGGGCACACACAGTAACTCTCCTGTGGGCTGGTTTTTAATGTCCTGGTGCAGAGTGTAACTGCTGAGGGATCACATAGGAGCTTATTACTAGGGGGTGTACATCCTGACAATGGTGCATAGAGGCACATAAAACTAGCCACAGCAGCACTGCAACAGGACATTCCTCTTCCACTGGTCCTCTGTCTCCGCGAGCACCTCACCACCATACACTACTCTTGACATAAGCAGACACTCTCTGAAGAATGGTAACAGAGACAAATAGGCACTGGAATCAATTCAATCCTAAGTAAGGATGTTAAGCTCTTGGGGGGGTTTCATGCTGACAGACAGGTAAAAGCATCATTTGGGTAATAATGCCATGATTGTTAATGGTCACATCAGCACAGATGTCTTAAATTGCCAATATGTGGCAACTAATGACACAAAGTCACGTCATCAGGGAGATTTTTTTAGTCTGGATGGAGAGGACAAGTTCACGTATCTGAGATCCTCAGATCCCACTTCTGCTTTCCGTCAATGGTTCTTTTGTAGACAATACAGAGTTGAACCGATGATGAAAGGGGTTTGCATGAGAAACCAAAGTTTAGTTAAAAGGTCTTACAGCTTGCTGAATGCTGATTCAATTTATTCACATTTTTTTTTGTGTGCTACTGTGTTCCTAGTTTGAACCTCTTGGATTGGAGTCTGCTTCTGAAACACAGCTGCCCTCTCAGTGAGGTACAAACACCGGACATTTCCTCAGCGGGTTCACTGCTGTGCATTTAGATGAAGGGCTCTGACTTCCATCTGTACACATCTTGGGCAGACTAACAACAGGACACAAAGTAAAGACAGACACTGCACCCTTCTAAAAGGCTGGAAATGTTTTGAATATACTTCTGCTAGAAAGAGTTCATTTGGTTTTCCTCCCAGCTGAGTGTTTCTTCCTACATTTCCGCAGATCCCTTTGATGACCTTACAGTAATAGGGTATGTGCTGTTTAGGCTTTGAGATACAAAGCGCAATGTGTAAACCACTTTCCGGAGAAAAATCTTTTCACTTCCTCCTAGTCATTAATGCACAGCAGGTGGTCTCACTAATATGGCATGGGTCATCCCTTCGTTTGAAGCAAGCTACACATCTGAGGCTGCGGCATGTCGCTCCATAAAAACAGTCAATAACAGAATGGGTGTAAAGACAACGAAGAGCTAAAATGTGTCTGTATCACATGAAAAGAGACAGAGAGATGACAAAGACAGATAGATGGTGAAGAGAAGCGATACTCTCATCAAAAGAAAATACCCAACACTTTCATTCCAGTGTTTGCTGCATCAAAGCAGAAAAGTTTACAGTAAAGTCTACAGAGCAAATAGTGGTGGCTACAAACGTACATAAGTAAATAACCCTTTTCTTTTTCATTACCAATTGTACTCCAACCTGAAGTGTCAAGGCCTGTCAAATGTCATACCAGCAACATGGCTTCTGTGTCATCTGTCACTGAGCAAATTGAAGCCTGGGTTTAATGTCACGCCGCTGTGAGCACAAACATAGTAATTGAGAGGTGAACTGAGTGGCAGGGATGAGCATCCAGGCAAGAAAACACTGAGCAGTAGCCTGATGAAAACCAGGAGCCCTGGTCGCATCTCTCTGGCCCTGGCAATAAAGACCATTGTATGAGGGAAAAAAAGGAAAGTCAGGCACCGTACCGCGCACACGTACACACTCAAGAGGCATTACCCACAATAGTACACACAACCTATGCAATGAAGCCAGAGTAATTCAGCTCCCCACTTCAAAGAGATGGGCTGAAAGCTTTTTGTTAGATTTCAATCCTTCAGTACATAAAGTCAAAAATGCATTTCAATGGAGAAAATCACAAGTGTGACAGAGCTTTGACCCCACAGATGTGTGCCAAGTGAATTTCAAAGTTTCGTGTTCTTCTGACGGTGGCCTCGGGAATACGTAGGTGGAGCCCTGCATCACAAAAGCTTAACATCTGAACACCGTACTGTGCACTGTACTACCTCAAGTCTATTTTGGATGTTGTAGCATCGTATATCCTTTGAGATTGCAACTTGGAATCACATTTTTATGAATATATTTCACACATTTGACCCTAAAGTCAGGGTTTCATGTCACCATGGGAGTTAAGTGCGCTGCTTTCTGGATACGCAGCTATGACAGTTGTGTGTGCCATCGCTCAGGTATTGATTTGCGGGGGCTTTAACCTGCACATTATTTGCATCATTTCACAAACCTCTGCAGTTACATCAGTGGTTCTCAATCGTACATTGGGATATTAAGCACCGATGGTTTTCTAACCTGTCATAGTTAAAGGGGAAAGAAAATGACACTTTTCGACATTATCTCTATAAATCTACAGATGAAGTTCATCCCTGTGTCTGATCACAGCACTGTACGTTTGTGTGACTAAAATCACAAATCCCAAGAGCTTAGTTGTTTACATGTTTACATGCAAACTATTACTGGGTGCTAGATTATTTATGTATGCAGATGTTAAGATCTTATCATGGTTTCAGATCTAATGCTGTGACACATTTTGGACAACTTGAACTTCATTTAGTTACGAGAACTGTAACCATGATATCTTGATTGGAGAATTCTATCAGTAAAAATGATTTAGTATAGTGAAAAGATGCTTTGAAACGCATTCATTATCATGGTTCCTGACAAAACTTTGTTCACAAAACAACAATGTTATCAGCATTAGATCTGTGGGTAATATAGGGATATAATACATGACAGCGTGTTTCTCTACTTCTGTGCCTCTTTGCGCCGATTTATTCATCAATTTAACATTAAACGATAGAGTGCGCAGTATTCATTATTGTGTGGAAGCTGTAATAAAACTGATGTGAAATGTTACAAATGGAAACAGTGCAAGAGAAATACAAAACTCACCATCATCTTCTCGAAGAGGTCAATGATCTCCTTTTCCGAGAGGTTCAACGAGCGGTCGTCAAAAAGGGGCTGTGGAACTGGCAGCTCAATTTGGGTAATGAGGGAATCTGTTGGGTGCTGTATAAGCGGCTTCTCCTTCTCCTTCTTCATCCCCGTTTTCCTGAAACTGGTAAGGCGATCACGCTGAAAGAAAAGAGAATGTTTCAAATATGAAAAAGATGGCACTGCTAACAATCCAGTTTAGACTAGGCCAAGTATAAGGCTCGCTGGTTTATGGTTATTGCTGATTTTCACTGGAAAAACTGCCTGTAACCCAAATTTCATGTTCCCCAACATCAGAGTTGTTCCGTTTCCTGCTCCCTACAATTTACAGTAAACAGGATCCTCTAACGGCGAGGAGAGCTCTAAAAATAGGGAATAAAATGCAAAAGAGCTGCAGATTTCTGTTGACATCCCAACAGCAATCAATGAATCAAATGCTCTGACAAAGAAAAAGGGAGCATCTGTGACTGTCGTGGGACTGTAATAAGCCCAAATGTAATGATTCGACGGGCTACCTGCCTGCCTGCTGCGTATTCTGTCCGTACATGCCACAAGTTGTTTACTTTCATAAGGACATGTTCACTTCATAATAATAATTGTGGGGGAGTGGCTTTGGAGAGAGGCCTGAAGGGACGGGCTGTCGATGTTGAAGACTTGGCGACTTTCTTGCTAGATTTAGCAACTTTTGCAGCTAGTGCTGCTAGCTACTTTAATTGGAAAAGAGTTGGCAACGCTGGGCTGGGTTTTTCAGTTGGATTATTTTAAGAATCGAACTATTGCTATTACCAACCCTAGCTTTAAAGTGGTGCTTCTCAAAGTCGGGCAAAATCATTTGCTCAAAATCATTAAATTGTGCCGTGTCATTAAAAAGTGCATTTCTACAGATGGGGACCATTTGTACCAATAACACAAGCATATTGTGTCCATTCCTCCCACCCATGCTAGCTTGACTTGATTGTGACACAGCAACAAGTTGTTGTTTTTTTAAGTTGAAGCACTAATTGAAAGTCAGCTTTAGACTGGTAAGTTTAGAAATCCGGTTTTATTATGCCGGTATTCCTACTGTCCATTACCAACATTGCAAAATTATTAGAATAAAGAAAAATAGCAACAACAAATCTTGCCACTATTACATCCTTCCCACTAATGGGGTGTTTCAGATGTTAGGCCATTTTGTTGCCTAATTTAAAAGGTTCACTCTTTCGTGTCTTCTTCGTTACTATTTGGCCAGAGGGTGGCGATAGAGGGACGATCCCTGTGGCAAGTCACCATCGAGAGTTTTGGTTATTTTGTGGTCTGCAATTTGCCCATCTAATGGCACGTCAACATCGCTGACCAACAAATGAACCTTGTGTGAGGATAAAAACAAAACTACTGAATGTTTATGCAGTGAATATTTCAAATACATTTTTTGAAATACAGATACAATTTATTCCATACTAGTGGTATTTGACATAGTATACAGCATGACATTCATTAAGACTTTACTTACCGTCATACCTGTAGGATTACCTGGTTAGTGCTCAGTGTTGCACACAATAACTTATGCTCACTGTCATGACACCAGTGAGGTTCCGTTGAGTTTAGATAAAATATTCATCAGTTAAGAGATTATTCTACTGAATGCAGTATAGTAACGTTTAGTGTGAAAGCAGAAAAAGTACATGAAATACATGCAACCAGTCAATGTTAGTTGTATTTAGTCAAATGGAATGGGAAGAACATGCTGGATGAATGGACACATGTAAATGAAATGGAAAGACAAATGATGTCAAGACTCTGTTTGCTGAAATATTACTGGATGGATCAAACATGCTGTGTGCCAACACAAAAACAGCATGAGCTTTCTAAGTTTCAAAGTTAGGCTATTTGTTAACTATGGGTATTAAAAAGGCCCCGGGCAGAGACGTCTAATCGGAAGTGCAACTGATAATTGCACACTAAATGATCTATGAGCTGCTTATAAAAGTCTAGATGCTATGGGCTGAATTTAGTTCATTATGAAAAATGTAAGACACTTGTGGTGTCAAATAATAACGCCATAAAAATCTTTTATTTACACCGCATTATGGAGGACAAGCAAAACACTAAGTGAGGCAGGTTTAAGTGTAGCCTTTTTATTGGAACCTTACATGTAACTTATCCTCCGTTTTTCATGTTGTGTTTGGTTATAATGTTAATTTAACTACTGGCACATTTGAAACCCATCCACATATTTCAGTAATACGTCCCATGCAGCCGTGACATAACACGAGATGATGCAAAACAAATCTAGTCACACCAAAATTAAACCGATCACCTTACCATATCATCAGCCAATGTTTTTATGTGTATGTTCTGTTGGAGGGAGGGCACAGTGTGAAAAACAAGATCCAACAGAAAATGACACAACCCTGCAAACTGCACAGTATGTATCCCATCGAGGTGCTCACACATGTACAGTGTCCTCTGGTTACCGTCTCATTGTCCTCTCACAGTCCAAATCGAGTTTCCAATGAACACACTTATGGCGCTAAATATCTTAGATCCACAGCTAGTTTTGTCGTTTTCCATTGAGGGTATATGAGCATACGCAGGACACTAAACATGTGGAGGATGCGACAATACTTGATGATCCAAAATAAAAGACTTTAAATGTATGTAAACGTAAATGTGTGTCCAAGAGTGAACATCCCAAGCACACACACACACACACTTAAAAGACACATACCAAAAGAATATATAAAAGGAGACTTTTTAGGGACCTAAAATCCCACAGCCGCGGACATAATGAGCACACTCGCTCACAGCACTCTTTGAAAATGTAAAAGTTAGTGCTGCTGACTTTTCGGTTTGGTGTATCCCTAAAATAATACATTTTCGCAAGGCAATATGTCACAGCCTGGCAGAGTCAACCACCAAAGACTTATTTTATCTATGTGTGTTCTAAAGAGCATCTCCTGTAGTGACAGTGGCCCAACTGCTATTATAAACTCCAGACAAAGAAATTCCCAACTTTTCAACTGTCTGTGCTTTGTTTGAAAATCAAATCTTTCAAAAAAAAAAAAATTTAAAAAAAAAATCGCCTCAAAATTAACACTACAACTTCTCTTTCGCTACAGATGTTTATCTTCATCTCAGACACAATAAGACGGGCTACTGCCAAAGGGACAGCCGTTGGAAAACACACCTCAAATGGGAAGCAGAAGCAACACTGCCATATGCTGTGGCGCTAGGCTGTGAAGCACTAATGAGCAGAGAGATGTGGGGTGGTGATGGCCATAAAGCCTGCCTCCAGCCGAAGATTTCTCCACTATTGTAATCAGGAAACCACTGATGCTGGGGCAAGCAAACAGATTGGCTCTAACCTGCACCTCTCTCTGCATGTGCATCTTCATCAGCTGTCGCTGTGGGCATCGCTGAGCGGGCACTCAAACTGCCATATCTATCACCAGCTTCGTCTGCAACCGCTGATCAACAGTTGGGAGATAAAGCTATGAGCCACGGAAAAAAACACAAAGCTTCAGTTTCTATGCACAGGCATCATGTGTTGTCCAAGCTGTTATTTCAAGTCAGGACAACAAATATGTCATATTCATGCGGCATTATGCCATAAAAAAAAAAAAAAAAAAAAAAAAAAAGGGGGGGGTGGTTCTGCCTAAGACGTCCAGGTATTTGTGTCACTGTCATTCGTTGCCTTTGGAACAGCTGCTCAACTTCTCACAGTATCAGTGGAACTGAGGATTTGACCTGGGCAACAACTTTTTTCCCACTTCCAACTCAGAGAGTATGTATCATTAAGCCCAGCATTCTCTTGAAGTCTAAAACTGCGTGAAACAATAGCTAATTTTCAAATGGAGTACTTAAACATTTTCTAATCAATTTAACAACAATCAAACCACTGTTTGGTTAATTGCCTTGACTTGAGGGCCTTTCCTTGCCCATTATCTTGGCAACATCGCAACAATGCAATTTAACATCTAACAATTAAGCTTGCATGTCCTCTGGGCTTCTCCCGCTTATTAAAGTAAACTTTTTCATCATAATAAATGTTTATTACCAAACACATATTCCTCTAAATAACCTAATCAAATTAGCTCTGGGTCCCTCCTTAATCAAATATTATTATGACTCCATGCAGATCTTTAAAAATGAAAACACAGAGCAATATCCCAGAACTTAAGAGTCAATTTGGGGACACAGAAGCATACCAGTATGCACATTTCACACAATACCTTTTTAAATTAATATTATAAACTATAATTAATGTTAATATTACGTTAACTCATTTAGATAATAGCCTTTCATTTATCTTAGCTTCATTAGGTGTCACAAACAAGACGGACACAGGACAAACTTTGTTTCTAATTGGCCACCATTGCGCAGCTTTTAAATAGCAACGCCTGTTATTCCCAACCAATTTAACTAGACCATCTGTATGATGTCATTTTAACTCACTCACTGGAACTATCACTATAAAATCAGTAGCCACGATGCCTCAGTAAAACGAGTTTAGAAGGAAATTAGGTTTTACTTTAATTAGTTCTAATAATACCAGAGGATTACTGGGAGTTGGCAGTGAGGACTATAATGCAATGGGCTTGTTAACAGTTCTTGGCAACTTCATAAAACTATCTTGTGTCCCTGTTTAATCAACTGCTTGGTTCAGCTACAGGCAACGGGGGGGGGGGGGGGGGGGGCGTGGCTACAGATTTTATAGACTGCCAGTTAACAAAGCACCCAAACCCCGTGAGAGCCCGGTGGCC